GTAACTGTTCCCCTTTATGCTGTGCCTCTGCCGATGTCCCCACAGCTGCTAGCAGGAGAGCAGAGCTCCCCCTCTGCTCCCAAACACCTTTGTCCATGGGAATCAAACTGAGAAGTGACCACCTTGCCTTGGTCTTGGCTAGATGTGACACAGGATGGTCAGACAGCAGCATTAGGGCTGGCTGCTGCCCAAACAGTAGGACAAAGTGCTCTGAAGAGCTTGTTGTATTGACAGGCAAAAAGAGGATTTTTTTTCTCAGCCTACAGGTGGAGAATTGAATCCCGGCGCCTTGGTTTTCATTATATCTATGTCTAGTTTATCTTGGCAACGCCATTGCCAGGCTTGGTCCAAAGCAAGGGAATCTGGTGTATGAGCTTCAGTCCATCTCAAAATTACTTACCTCCAATGAGATTGGTCAGAAATTATGGAAGGACATCTTTTGAAGATGCTGGTCAGTACTGTGTTCCCTAAATAAGCACTTTTTCTTCCTGCGTATTCTTCATTTCCAGGTGTTTGACCCTTCGCGTTTTTCCCCGGAAAACGTCTCTGGCAGACACTCTCACGCCTTTCTGCCTTTTTCAGCTGGGACGAGGTAAAGGGTGTGGGAGGGAGCAGCAGGGAGAGAAAGCACACATCCCGGGAAACTGCTTGGCCTGGGGAGCATGTGCTGCAGTTAGAGTTGCTGTCTGTGGGAAGCACTCAGAGTGCTTTCAGAGACCACCGCCTGAAGTCCTGGCCCTGCAGAGTTTGGGAGCATGTAACAAGTGCTTATGCCACAGGGGGGTTCTGATGCCAGTAGGCAAAATGAGACGTCAGCATTGCTGGGGACAGGGAACCAGGTCCTAGAGCTGTGGAGCATCCTGCTGGCATTCTGCGGAGCCTGGAGCATCCTGGGCTCAGCTGCCCTCCCTGATGCAGAGACCTGTCCCATCCCTCTGACCTTTCAGTCACCCGCCTCCCCTGCTCCAAATCCTTCCTTTCGCCCTGTGCTCACTCCACCAAGGCAAACACATTGCAGACCTACCACCTCGGCTTTGCTGACCTCTCCTTTGGCTTCCCCATCTTCCCTCTCATTCCATGCATAGTGAACACACATCCAGGATCTCCTGCTGCTCCCCTGGATTCCCCTTGCTCAGCCCGTGCCCCTGCTTTTGCCACCCAAAACACTGCCTGGGGTCCCCAGAGCTGCAGAGTGGAGGGCTGTGTGCTAGTGTAATGGGTTTGGGATCCAGCAGCAGGGCTTTGCTGTGCCCTGCACGGAGATCGGGGGGCTGAGCTGCTCTGTTGTACCCCAGGAACTGCATCGGGCAGCAGTTTGCCATGAATGAGATGAAGGTGGCGCTGGCCCTGACCCTGCTCCGCTTCGAGCTCTCACCCGACCCTGCCAAGCCTCCCTGCAAAATACCTCAGATCATCCTTCGCTCCAAGAATGGGATTCACCTCTACCTAAAGAAAATCCGCTGATGCTGGAAAGCGTCCTGCCTTCACCAGAGAGAGGGACCAAGTAGATGACAGGGCAATGTTTCTCTGGGCAAAAGGTGCAGGGTAGGATTTGGGGATGAGGATTCCTGATTTCTGTGCTTCTTCCACCAGTTGGGAAAGCCCTTTTTGGCTGGGTAGCCTGGCATGGCATTGGACAGACCCATTGCCATCTGCTCCATGATCTCGGAGCAACTGGGCATGCGCATGCCTCGTCACTGGCTGTCCTCTTGCCCTGCTCTAAGGGATGGCCTGGCCTGGGAACTTCTGCAAGTCCCACCAGCTTCCTCCTTACCAAATCCTGCCTTCGCATTCATGTCCTTACTGAATCCGTGACCATTTCCAGCCTTGCTTGGTCACCAGCACCTTCCTCAGTGCCTGGATGTCAGCCCTCCTGTCCTACAGCTGTGGCAGACATCTGTCTCTCTTCTCACACTCAATGTGTCTCTGTTTTGTTGAAAGCACTGATTCCAGTTTGGGCTCTGAAATTCTGCCTAAAATGTTTGTAATTTTTATGTTAATAAACCAATAATTATTCCTGTAACACAAACAGCAGTTGCATCAGTTTTTATTGCTGAGTCTTGCCCACTTCCTCACAAGTACAGTGTGAAGCCCCTTTAGAAATGCTGCTGGTGCAATTACTATCAAGGTGGTGTGGACTGTGGTTCTAGGGGAGGAAACAGGAGGAGCTTTCTGTGGGGTACAATGTGCTACACTATCAACACCATGAGCCAAATCACCAGTGAGCTCCTTTAATGGAACGTTATACCTAACAGAAGGTTTTGTCCAATTTCAATTTTAAATACTCAATGAGATAATACAAATAACTTGTGTCATCTCACTCTAAGCGTATTACCAACCCACTGCAAATATCTTCGTATCAGCCATAATTGAGAAGCTGCAAAAACTAGGCCAGTACATGGCCATGGACCTGTTGAAGCAGGTCAAAAGCAGGGCTGCAAAGATGACCAGAGGGATTGAACACCTCTCCTATGAAGACAGGCTGTGAGAGTTGGGATGAACAATACCCTGGAGAAGAAAGGGCTCTGGGGAGACCTTATTGCAGCCTCCCAGTATCTGAAGGGGACCTACAAGAATGCTGGGGAGGGATTTTTTTACAAGGGTTTGTAGTCACAGGACGAGGGATAATGTCTTCAAACTGTAAGAGGGTAGATTTACATTAGAAATTAGGAAGAAATTCTTCACGGTGAGGGTGGTGAGACAATAGAATAGGTTGCCCAGGGAAGTTGTGGATACTCCATTCCTTGATGTGTTCAAGTTGGATGGGGCTTTGAGCAACCTGGTCTAGTGGAATGTGTCCCTGCTTGTGGCAGGGGGGTGGAACTAGATAATCTTTAAGGTCCCTTCCAACACAAGCTGTCCTATGATTCTATTATTCTATATTGTGCAAATAACAGTTGCCCATACAGCTCCACTGCCACAGCACCCATATCTCCTCTGACCACAGCTGCATTCACAGCTACTGCCAAGCCCCCCACAAACCCCTCCTCTGTCCTGTCCACTTACCTGTGCCAGCACATGAAGCCACAATCAACAACACATGCCTGCTGTGTGGTGCCCACCTAATCAAGAAGCCTCAAAAAGCCACATCCAGCAGCAAGCTTCACCTCCTGTCTCCATACCTCAGGGTGCTCCAGGCACCCAAGCCATAAATTAATTCCTCCTGTGAGCAAAACCTCCAGGCTGCCCTAAAGCAACTTAACAAGGCCAAGTGCAAGGTCCTGC